TCTTCAGCTGTGGTAAACAGGGACTGAAAACATAAAAATGGCAGAGGCATCTGTCTCCAAAAAGAAGAGGGTGAACACCCCTGGCCTCATATACAAAGCATGATTCATCTTACACACAGTGCAAAAGAACAGCTTCATAATGTGGCATCTTCTCTGTCTGCCAAAACAGACAGTTCAACATATAAAAATTTGATGTCTAACCTGAGAAAACATGCCATGGTAGGTTTAGATTTTTCATTTAATGCTGCAGTGTTAGCATATATAATTGGCAAATAAGTCAGTATAAGTTTCCTAAATTTGTTCTGCTGAATAAGTAATTACAGAAATGTGGTGACCACAATAGTCACAGATTCCCTTACTGGCTCTCGGCGGGTAACACAGGCAACATTTGACAAACTTGGCCTAATGTCTGTATGTGAGGCCAACCAACCATTTTTTGTTGTGGAGACAACATCCTTCAAAACTACAATGTAAACCATGCAACCTCAGTGTACAGTAATGACAAGGAAAAGGTTATGCTCAAAAGGAAGCTGCAAAGAAGATTAACACCATAATCATCATAAAGCTGAGCACTGTGAACTATGTGTCAGACAACATAACTATTTAGGAGTCACCTGTCACTAGCTAGATGACACCTCTCTAGAGAGGCACTCTGCTCTCCAGTAACGTTTTGGAGACATCATGAAACAGGACAAGTACAGACTTCAGCGGACAGTCAGGATTGCAGAAAAGGTCATTTGTGCAAGCCTGCCCTCCATGGAGGACCTGTACACCTCACAGGTCAAAATTATTCAGACATGTTGAGACTTTTAAAACCTCCAACAAAACAAATACTGCTGTTTAACACAGGTGGCCCGTTAGGATAACATTTCACACATGATGCAGCAGGTTACTTCAGGTGGAATCTAATGTAGTAATTATTTTTAATGGTTTGTCATTTAAAGGCGAAACGCAGTTTTTAATATCGCTCAGACGTGAAACTTCAGACCTCTCACTGCAGACCCCTCACACCCTGGACACAATCTGTTTGAACTCCTCCTCCTCTGGATGGCATTACAGGTCACTGTGCACCAAGACAACCAGGCACAAGGACAGTTTCTTCCCCTGGGCCATCAGTCTGAGGAACACGTGACGCACAACAGTATGACTGGACAATAATCCTCAGTGCAATACCTGTAAATATACCTTGTACAGATTATACAGCTTCATATAGGTCTCTATTTTTAAGTACTCTATTTGTATTCCTATTTATTTCATCTCACAATGGTTCACAATGCTGTAGCTCCTTTCATCATAAGTATAAGTACATGAAATCATATAACCCAGTTTTGGCCTGTCCTCACTGGTTTTCAAAATGTTACAGACCTGACAGCTTTTTACCCATAGCTTAAGACATTCATTCATTCATTCATTTACACTGGCTTTTAATACATAATGCAGTGTCATACATTCTATTTAATCTAGGTCTTATATTCTTTGCACTTTATCGTGTAGTCAGTGGATAAGAGATCCCTTTGCAATCCACATGGAAAGCATTGTGTGTGCCAACCAGCAAGGAAAATCAGCTGGTCAAGCTGTCATGTGACCAGACGCTGAGAAAGAAATGTGATGAGATAAGCCTCCCCCATTTCTGGTGCAAATACGTGATGTCTGAGTATCTGGCAGTCAAAGCAGCCTACCGTTCACAACAACCAATCTGTGTTAAAGTGGCTTCTCCACTTTGGTACAGCTCAAGTCAAAGCAAAGGAAAAAGTTGGACACTGAACATGATCTGAAAGTATCTCTCTACTATCAGCCCACACATTGAAACTCTTGTCAGAACTAAGGGACAACTACAGCTATCTCATTAGTTTATTAGTTATTGTACACTTGCTTATAAAAGTGATTAACCTTTTTTCAGTCATAGATAAACATTGGCTCATAATTGATATAAAATTGACAAATACAAAATAATTGGGCTGAAAAACCAAGAGCAGTGTAGCTGTTCCTGAGTCCTGTTGCTGTTGGTCATGCCAGGCTTGTCCAGGTTTGTACTCAAAGGTTTGTTCTGACATCAAATATCTGTATTCATTCATATTATTTGAAAAAGTCAGTATGTATTTTGCTGTTGTAATCTTAAATAAAAAAACACACAGCAGTAAGGAGGACCTGGATTTATGTGTGTCACCAGTGGTTCCAGCTGTGTCTGCCCACTGTCTGCATTTCTCAGCCATCTTAGCAGACTGTGCAACAGTACAAGCATATATATTTAATAACAATAAATAACCTAATCAAACTTTCAGAAATTATTCAGCATTTACATGCCTCTGTACAAACACCATATTACCTTAACTACACAAATGTCATGTCACCTTAACTAAAGAGTTGACATGAATTATGAGCTTTATTTTAAATAAAGAGCTTCGTGTCTACTCAGCTAGCTGTTAGCACCACCGAACTCCTTTGTGCTGTACTGCACAAGCTAACGCAGCTAATTAGCCGCGACTTGCTTATAAAAGCGATTGAGACCGTTCAAAAATTATTCAGTGCTCACCTGCCTGAGTATAAACACAGTGTAACCTGAACTAAACAGTTCACATGAATTATCATGAGCTTTACTTTCAAAAACGAGTTTCGTGTCTACTGTGCTAGCCGTTAGCAGCCTATTGTAATGTTATGGGCTAAGTGAGCCACTGCCTCATTCAAAATACATTGACATCGAGGGTTCAACAAAAATGCTGATCACCTCTATGTCAAGATATTCCAGAAAATGAAGAAGCAGTGCCAATTTACAAATGCCCTAACTTTTGCTTCAAACTGATGTGGCCTGGCAAAACTGAATCAGCTCAGGACACGACAATGTCTTTTGAGTGGTTCTTTATTCTGAACATTAATAATTGGGGTTGTTCTTTTTCTTTTTTTAGGAGGTAGAATGAACAAAACAATGAATACAAGCAACAGTGGCAACACTTGTCCCTCATTCAAAATAACGGTACAGAAAATAACCCTTCCGCTAAAATAGAAAAAAAAAAAAACAATACAAAAAAATAACTGTGGCGGCTCTCCTAACAAACAAAGAGCACAGATATTCCACATCAGAAATTTAACATTTCTCCTCTTAGTCTAAAACATAATAATGGATGCAGAGGTTTAATAAAACACTCACTGTACAGAGAATCCATCTGCAGTTACCAATTCATGACAGAACACCCTGCAAATCCTACGGGTCACAGTCTGGGTCTAAGATTGGTAAACATCCAACACATACACAAATGCGAACAAATGAAGCCTACAGAAGCATGTATATAGGACACTCAAATGATCTTTGTATATTACAATCTTGTGTTGTACGGGATTTACCTTGAACAAAAGGTACAGGTCTCGGATGAAATATGGTCACAGATGAAAACACATGGATTTCAATTTCCCAGAATTCACGGGATCCATACCCAGCATCCTTTTCATTCTCAGGGTTACTCTAAAAGCGATATTGCCCTCTGGTGGTGTACACAAGTATAACGGTCGCATTTCCACCTGGCTACACTGACTTTCTGAATCCTTCCGTTGAATGGCCGTCTATGGAGCAGTGAGATGGCACTGTCTCTGGAATCTGTGACGTTACGCAAATACCGTTCATCCCATCACAATAACAATGGCATAGAAAGATTGTGACAATTTTCTTTATGATTTCCATCCATTATATGTGTATAAAGCGTAAGGATGGCAGAATAAGCAGAAAAATGGGCAAGAAATTGTTGAAAAACACAGACAGACCAGCTAGAGCCGGGAGTCATGTGACTCAGAGGGTTCCTATTCAAGTCAATGGAGCCATTCAAAGTCAGTGGAGAAACACACAAAATATAAATTTCAGTTATAAAAAATAGGAGAGAAAGTTCTCTGAACTAAGTGCTGTCTTTCCTCTTATACACACGCATACAATTACAGGAACAATGCTCAGACAGATAGTCAACAAGTCAAACAGTGAATACAGGATACTAGTTATCTAGTTCAACAGTCACACAAAAGTGAGAAATCCTTACAACATGCTGACACAATAAACAGTCTGAGCTCACAACCACACAATTGACTGTATGCAATGACATGAAAGCCACAGGTAATAAACTACAAAGAGTACTAGACTACAAAGCATCAGCTAATAAACAGTTAAAAAGGGTGCTTCCATACAATTGCCACTACATGGGGACAACATCACATGTGACAATTTTTTTTTACCTCGCACAAGCTGGGACAGGAGCTCCTAAAGAGGAAGTTGACCATGGTGGGAAGAATTCGGAAAAACAAGTCATGAGGTCCCACCAGTTAGGTAATTTCTTAGTTAGATAGATATTGATTAGAGATCTGTTGTATTAGAAAATGTTAGTGTAGACAGGATGTCTAGCTCAGGCTGTTAAATGCTTAGTTCATTGTCATGAGCTTGCTGCAGGCTGCATGTGGGCCCCAAGGTCAACTAGATTGAAGAGTCTGCAGGCAGGATGAATATTGCTAGTAGCATGATATGCTCAGCCGTAATCTTAATCATAACATTTTCCGAGGCTTACTGTTCGGACATGTCCCTGAATGTCCTGTATGTTTTTAGATACACACCACATAATCAACATTCACACACATTATTTTCTTCATGTTTTGACTACTGCTCTGGTCAGCTGCAAAGCTGGCATATCAGGTGACGTCACGGTTTGACATTGCCTGCGTAAGTGGGGCTAGCCCAACGAAGTGATTAAATTGTATAGGCTATTAGGTTCGGGGTCTTTCTTCTTCCGGGCTGCCTGCGAGCAGCTTTGGGGGTGGAAGATGCCTGGATGTGTAATGTTAATTCTTGCCTGTGACCCTTTGAATAAACCAGCACGGTTATATTTTTTTATATACTCAAGTGGTCCGCTTTGTCTCACTGAGTTCCTGGTTTGAAAGAACTGGACGTGGCTTTATAATAGAATAGAGCCTTTACACCCCAACTGTTGGTTATAAAGAACAGGCCTGTCAACTCTTCAAAATTTTTGTACATGGCTGACATGTCCCTGGTGTCCTATGTGCCAAAGAAAGGCAAGAATGTTCTTCTGATGAGTACATTGCACAGGAATGGGAAAATCTGTGGCCAAAAACCACAGATCATCATGGACTACAGTGCCACAAAAGGAGGGGTGGACAACATGGACAAGCTGGTGACTGCTTACAGCTGCAAGAGGACACTACGCTGGCCACTGGTGATTGTCTTTGACATGTTGGACATCTGACACCACCCGTGCTCTGTGGAGACGCTACAGACAGGCGGAGTGGAAATGGAAGAAGGATGGCCTGCACGTCTCCCTGGACATTTTAAGGGATAGCCTGGTCTCATATCAGAAAGCTGTAAATGATGCTAAAACCCAGTCTTTATTTAATATCATTTTGAATAACAGTCAGCATCCCAGAGTTCTTTTCATTACTATTAATTCGGTAATTAACCCTGTTGTTGCTTTGGCCACTGAGGGGTCGGGGCTGTCCTGTAATGTGTTCCAGAGTTATTTCAGTGACAAAGTCTGGGCTATTAGACAAAATATTCCCAAGGTTCCACTCTCTATACCACCTGTATCTCAGTCACTGTTTACTCTGGAAACCTTTAATCCTATCTCTCTGCCTCAACTCAAAAAATGTGTGTTACAGCTAAAGTCTGCCTCCTCCCCCCTGGATCCTGTCCCAGCCAGGATAATTAAGGAGGTCATTGATACTGTGGGGCCCACTTTGCTCATATTTCTTAACTGCTGTCTTAGGTTGGGCACGGTCCCCACCGCCCTTAAGCATGCTGAAAGCTATTTTCCAGTTCTTTTAACCAGGAACTCAGAGAGACGAGGCAGTCCACTTGGATATAAAAAATCGTGCTGGTTTATTCAAAGGATCACAGGTACACTGCAAAAACTGAAATCTAAGTAAGATAAAATATCTTAAATCAAGGCAATATATACTTGTTTTTTGTCTGACAAGATATTTTTCCTAAGTAGGCCATTTTATATGAGAACATTTCATTTATTTCAAGCTTTTTTATCCTATATTATCTTGATAAGTTATTATACCTTGTCAGTGAGATTTTATTACTAGTTCTGAGTATCTTAATGCTTGAAACAAGATTTACAAAA